GTGGCCGACGGTGACTGGAGACCCCCTTGCGATGCGCTGGCATATTCGCAGGAGCCGCCTTGAAAAGCCGAGGCATCGTCCGTCCAAAGGCCCATGGATGCTGTTACCACCTCGCTCATGGCGTGTTTGTGGAGACCTTGCCTGGCTTGCAGCATCAGCGACCCCGCCGTGGAGCTGCAGCTCTCGGTGGCAGCGGCCAGACCCAGCAGTGCCCAGGTCAACCCAGCGAAGCAGGATGCCATGGCCAGCAAGAGAGGTTGTGCGATTGAAGCTGCAGCAGCTAGGAATTTCGACCAGTTGCTTGAGCCGTCGCCGTGTCGGTTTGTTGCGTAGCTTTCGATTCCTGCGGCATGCGCGGACAAGTCTCGTCTGACGATCCTGAGCCCGCTGCTCTGCCGACTGCCCTGTCGTCACGGCAAGCTCGGTTGAGACCGATGCAGATGTCTCGCGGGCAAAGCAAGGCACACACGTGGACAAATGTCGTGCGATGCACTTCGCGCCACTACAACGACCAGCCGACACCATCGGCTGAAGTTTCTCTTAGAAGCGACGATGCATGTATCGCCTTAGGCAGCATGCAAGAGATCTGCACGTTGCCGCCGTAGTTCGACTCCGGGATGTCGGCTCGGACCTTCGCACAAAGCTTTGACAGAACGATTGCCCTGCGCACTCCTGCAAGAAGTCATATCTGCGCTTTCCACCGCCTTGATGGTGATCTCGAGCTTGTGTGGTGTCTGTTGCTCTGCGAAAGGAAATATCCTGCAGCAGATCAGGCGGTCGAAAACTTTCCAGAGAGGCAGCTGGCGACTTCCAAATGCTCCATTTCTCATGGACTTCGGGCTCCAGTCAAAAGCTCCTGAAGGGCACGCGGAAATCGCCAGTGATGCGGTAGTTCATGACCTCTGCCAGCAACTGATGTGGTGCAACTGGGGGACGGAGAGATTGTAAGAGGAAACCTAGGGCACAGCTGCAAATTCGCCATCCGGAGGGTAGAAGGAAAGTGTTCGAAGATCCGAGAAGTCCTGACTCACGATCAAAGCCGGACAGGTCTCCCAGGAACTCTCTCCTTCGTGAAACATCTACATGCGGAAGGAATGCCGAAGCAGTCCTGCAAGTCCACGCACTCGTGGAAGTTGCAGTCGTCCAGGATCACAGAACCATATCCTGGCCCCAGGCAGTAGGCGATCTTCAAGCGAAAACGGCTTGGTAGCACAAATTTAAAGTAAGATGCTGGAGTCATCATATCTGAATTAGATGGCCAACTAATCATAGTCTGGAAGACCACCAGTTCACAAACCGAACTGTTTTATACCGATTCCACTGGTAATTCAGCGAGAGCCCTCGTAAACAGCAGAAACTTAGCTTCCGCTTGACAACCTCCGTGGCTGCCACCCAGGTCCATGTTCTTGACCACGATGTCCTTCTGCTTGCGACATGCGAGCGAACGAGCACACACCACCTGCGCAGCCTCGTTTAGGGCCAGCTTGAGTTCTGGATTGCCCATCAAATATGACCTGGAGCTGTGCAGTGTGGAGCAGCATGTCCAGCGGGCCCCCTGACTCGGAAACTGAGCCAAGGGCTTCATCTGGATGCTGCCGTCAATAGCACTATTGATGACAAAACCGTTCGAGCTCATAAGAACCTCCACAACGGCTGCGAGCATCAACTGGGTTTAAGTGCGGCCTTAATCCCGTCCAGTGCCCCTTTTGTGATGGTGGGCGCACCGAGATTCTCTCCAAAATGTCTACGAAGATCTCATTCTTCTTGTTCTTGGCATCATGCGTCGGACCGACCTGAAGACCGCGAAGGCGAAGGCCCATCTTGTTCGCTGCCCTTTGAGGCCCGCACTGGCCGGTGGACAGCGTTGCTGGGCACTGTGCGCGGATTCCACTGGGGCAGATTGAGGCCAAGCCTGAGGTCCAAGAGGTTGTTTTTACTGTCACAGATTACACAGATCAAGGGTGTGGTGCTTCTTGGTCTCCACCGGCTCTCTGAAGCCCAATAATGCGGCTGCAAGTATCGAGGGTTTCCGACCTGATAAGGCCTTCGATGGCCAAGCTTTCTTTTCTTGCTTCATGCGTTAGGCACCTGGCTTACGCTTGCGCTCGAAGGCAAAGCTTGAACAAGGGCATCAAGGGCCCGAATCCCGTTAGCAAAAGACTGGGTTCGGCAGCAGGAACAATTGCGAAAGCAACTTCTAACAGCGTTCATAACGCTGCAACGGCCGAGGGCTCTGCTTTGGCGCCTCTATGACAACTGCCTCATTGTGGATGCAAGACCTGGCAAGCCGGAACAGCGAGGGCTTAAGTTCTCCTTGCTCTCTCATGGTCAATAGGATGCCCTTACTTGATGTTTTTTGCTGTCATGCTCCCCTGCTCATGGGGAATTAAGGGTGATCCAAGTCCAAGATGGCATGCAATCGGCCGGGAATGCTTCAGGTGCTCAGTGTTCGTCGTCTGTGGATAGCCTGGGCAAGCAGGACACACCAGCACCGAACTGCATCTGCACTTGCTGGGTTTCCGGTCACTTCAACATCGAAGTTGACAATGTCTTCAGTGCTGCTGTTGGCTGCAGACTGCACTACACACGCCCTCAGGCGCCGACCGAAATCCACCATTTCATCGAGAAGCTCATACACAAGCACAAAGTTTTTCCTGTGTTTCGGGCTGGCAAAGGCTTTCACAGCTTTGTCCTCAACTTCCTCACGAAATCTCGTGGGCGTGAACAGCTGTGCAAATTCGCCCGTCCTTATGCTCTCTTCGTTGAGCATCCCGCAGAAGTCTTTAAAGACCTGGCGCTCGAATCCCTGGTGCAGCCGATCCTAGCGTTTCCTCCAGGCTGCAAGAACCTTCGCCATCTTCGTGAGGAGCTCCACCACGGCGGCCGGGGATATGTTATGACATGTAGTTGCCACGAAGTACCTGAACAAATTCGAAGGCACGCTTTGTAGCCTAGCCCAGCTCGCCCCGCATCTTATGCAACTAATCCCTTAAACACGATGCAACAGTGGGATGCAATCCGTTCTTCTTGATGAAGACATAGGTGACCTTGTGTCATGATGTCTAATCTCTAGTCGCTTGACATCTGGACTGCTCTGAGCAGGAGGCCCCATCCAAGTTGAAGATTGGGGGAGCGTCGCCGTGCCAGAATTTTACCTGCTCAAGCCGGACCCTCTTCTGCTCCCCAGAATCTTCCAGGAAAGAGAGCCTTTCTAAAGAAAATCTCCGCAGTGCCCTTCACGACATCACCGCGGAAGTCTCGCGTGATGATGGTGTCGCCGCGCAGGGACAGAATATAAAACCTTGGCAGTGCAACGGTAAATTAGTATTGAGTCCAAATCGGCCTGAGATGACACTAGCTCTAGTAACAAATGTTCATGCACTGGGGTCCCAGAATATACCGGCACTGCCCTCTCTGTTGTGGCTTTGGCTGGCACTGTAGCACAGCACCGGAGCTGAGGTGTCGGCTGCGAGATCATCCGGAGCACGCCGCGCAAACGCACGAGGTGACTTTGCCGGGGAAGCTCTAACAACAAAACCTCGTTTTCCATTTCACTTGCTTGCGAAAGCCTGTTCGCACAGTTGCAGAAGTTAGCCAAAGGGCAACCAAGCTGGGCCCCGAAGTTCCTGCTTCAGATTGTCGGTGACTTCACTTTTTGACAGGACCCAATGTCCATGGTGTCAGCTGGAACGGTGGAGCAGGGTGAATGATGGGGTTCATGTCAGGCCACAATCTCACACGGTACGAGCCAAAACGGGTTCCCGACATGATGCAACTGGAATGTTCGAGATTGCTGCAAGTCACCCACTGCACTGCCAGCTCACACCGCCACACGGGCATTGTTTTGCACGCGGGTAAGTGTCGCCCTCTCAGCATCACCCCCCAGGCAGTTGCTGGCAACAGCCACGTGGGCACCTGTGGCGAGTTTCTGACACCGCTCCACAACGTCCGATTTGGAAAGACATTACAACAACGTAAGCTCACTCTCGCTCTGCGGCTAGTCCGCAGGGGTCCGCAGCCTGCGCGATAGCTTGAGCCACATGTACGAGTATGTTAACACCCACTGGCATGGGACCAATTCGACACTTTGCAGGATGCTCCCTTCTGACAGCCTCTGTTGAGAAGGTGGCCTCGTGCAGGTGGAACTTTGTCAGTAGATAAAGGGCAACAGCGCTTTCCGGTCCTGCAACTTTTAGCAGTGCTGGCTTCGAGACTTTCTTGTTACTGCCTGTTGTGACCGCTTATTAACAGCAGGGTCCATCGTCGCACGAGTGGATACTCTCAACACTCACTCTCTCAGTAGGCCACTTGGGATCGGCTCCGGCGGAACAACGCGCTTGATGTTCAGCTGCATGTGACCACATGCAGCTCCGTCCTTGGGGTACTGATCCTTGAACTTTTGCAAGTACCTATTCAGACACAAAGCATGCCATGGATCAAGTGCAGAAGAAAGGCAGCTGACCGTGAAACTACGAAAAGACTATCCTCCTGAGAGGTTCCACTTGATGGGCTCTTTAGCCCCGTCATGAAGCCGGATCGACTGTTTGGTCATGGTTTCTGTGAGTCTATGAGCTTCCTCATGGCCCGCGAGGTCTCGGGCATGTCTTGGCTTGACGACAAGATCCACGGCGCGCACCAGTGGTGATGAGCAATGGCCTCGGGTTTCTTGGAAGGGCATTAGGACCTTTAGGATTCGGATGTCACGCCTTCGATAATATCGATGCAGCCAGAGAGCTCTTGGCCCGATATTGGCAGCCTGCAGTCAGGCCACTGCAATAGGTCACGACAGAGACTGGTTGTATGTGCATGTCGTTGTTCCTGTCTCTGAGCTATTGCCCCCAGTGCATTCCGCTACGACTGTTTCCTGCTGTTGTGGTTGTTGTTGCTGCTCTGCACTGCGTGGGCAGGCTGGAAGCTTTGCAGCAGTTCGCAGGCCTGCTTTTGGGAGCTATGCGACACAATGCGTTGCAGGAAACAGAAGACACGGCATGGTGTGTTTCTCAATCTAGTGCCGACCCTGCATACAGGCTGAACAAGGCCCCAGTCTGAGTTCGGGACGGTGCACAGCGCGAAAGTCAGCCCTGGCAGGGCGAAGCCCATCGCCTCTGCGGCGCAGAGCGGGAGAACATCTGCCAGAACATGGACAAACGCTTGTGACAGAGAAAGTCCCAGAGCCGAACCAGGGCATAGCCGGTCCACTCGACGATCTCCCCAAAGAAGTTGGCACCTGCACCGTGACAATGTGTTGCAACTCAGCAACTTACGAGGGCAAACTAGGAAGCCCACGGCCACGCACCGAATTCCCCGCGCCGGCCTGGCCTGAGATGTACTCAAACATTCCCCCACGAGGCACTTTGTACCTCAAATACCGCCAACAATCCGCTTCTCACCTGACACTGTCTGGGGTCACCCCGTCTCGCCAGGCTTCCTGTGGTGCAGCCACGCTGTCTGCAACTCCAAGCACGCAAACGTCTCAATGTGGCCTCAGGTTTCTTAACCTGTGGTCTGCATCCAAGTTGATGCACCTGAGCTTTGCCAACCCTGCGCCGCATCTCAATACTCAAGATTCTCCGAAATGTTGAGTGAGCTCGGCACAGTCCTATGGCCCAAAGGACGATACCGGCCAAAGTCCTGCCCAAACCACTATCTGCCGAGGTAACTAATCGCACTCGCAGGGGTGTGCCTCCATGACATTGGTATCACCAAGAACCTGCTATCGGTCGCTCTTCGCAAACGTAGCGAAACTGTGAAACCCTGGCCTTGTCAGGCTTCTGCACTGGATATAGCCATTGGCGGCACAGAACCTGAACATTTGCCAACTCGGGATGATTGCTAGCCCAACTACGAAGTAGCCGGAACAAGATCCGCCGACGCTGAAATCGACCCCCATTCGTCAGAAAACAACCTTTCTGCGCATGACCTGTGTTCTCTTGGCTCTGTCGCGAACAAAAAAGACGTGAGTATTGAAGTACATCACAGCCGGTGTTCTCCGAACAATTCAAGCTGTTCGAAACTCCCTCAAACATGAAGAGGGGTCGACGAAGGTCCCACGACCCGGCCAGGTTCAGGGTGTCGCGGCTGTCAATATATACCTGCCCGAACTGAGCTCCTGACATCATGGACATCAGCATGATCGGCAATGGCACGGGCTTGGAGCCTTTCCTTGCTCAGTTGCACTTCAGCACTTGCAACATCTCGTCTATTCGCTCCAACTCTGCTGGGCCAAGTTTCATCCGCAAAGGGTAAATGACAGAGCGATTCACCTCGGCACTTTGCAAACACCACAGTCGCCCATAACACTGCTATCGAAATCACAATGCAAGGCTCGGGCATAATGGACAACGAAGCACAGCAGCAAGGCACAATTGCCCGAACCTGAGCTCAAGTTGAGTTCAACATGATACATGTCCCGTAGCAAATCGCAGATTTTGCATCAGTGACAGGTGTGATCCATGCTCGGCACCCAACGGCCCGTGGATGCCTGGTTGGTAATGCAGCGACAAGGTGATAGTGTGCTCTAGGAACAGCGCAAGCTGGCCCAGTTTCACTGCTGTTGACCGACTTACTTAGACTTATTTTCGATAGGAAGCCAGTGTCTTGATGCCATTCGCAGATTCGCTAACACGAAGTTCGTGACAAACCCGCAAGAACGTCCTGGCCTCGTTTCCGGTGGCCCAGCACAGGCCAGCCGCGATCAGAGTGGGGCCTGTAAAGTGGCGCAGCACACGCTTCAAAACACGAGCACTGTTCCATGGCTGCGCGACTTTGAGGCGGTGACACTCCTGCAACACCCAGGCCTTGCCAAGCGCCAAAGGATTTGAGGCCGGTTGCAACAGCGGCACTGCCAGCAAATATTGGTGTTGTGTTGAACGTTAATCATACTGTCCGTGTCGTCCAAGAGCGAACGTGAAGCGGCTACGATGCAAGCAAGGCGGATATGACTTGCAATGCCCTGATTTGACGCCCTGAGAAGAGCGCTGTCCGCGCATTGATGTCGCAGGAAGCCAGCGCCTGGATCAGCCGGCCTGGCCGGAAGCTGACAAATCCAAAGAGAAACACTGGGCACTTTACTAGAGTCGAGTTCCCGCAGACATCGGTGCCTTGCTGGCCAGCGCTGCCTGGGAGCAAAGTGGCACCGTGGCGGCTGCATGCTTAGCATCTACGACAAAGCCTGCAAAAGAAACCATCAGCACTCCTGTATGCTTCGCTGACTTTTGTTACCGGTGCGGTGTGTGTCCAACCACACTTGGCCCGGTCTGCATCTTCTCAGAGATTTTGTCAGCCCAGTTGCTGTGATATCTGCCATAGGGAGCTTCCACCTGTCCAAACCGTCACCACATGATACCACGCCCTGTGTGCGACCTGACTCGGCTGGCACCTCGCTTCTTTTTGACGCGTCCGCTGCTGCACAACAAGATTTGGGAAAACAGAAGCCTGCAGCAGTTGCTTGAAGAAGGGAGCCGCTCGCCACGATGACGCGAGTCAGTCGAGGCTCGTCTAGGTAGACAGCAACATGCTCAACATTTTCGATATCTAAAGCTTTGATCTGCGCTTTGTGTGCCTGTCTCTCTGTCTTAAGGGGCAAGGGGTTCAGCGACTGGAAAACTCGCGGTGAGATAAGAGCCACTTTGGCTGCTTTGTCTGCACAGCAGTGCAGTTGTGCTGCAATCACAAGCTTGAAAGCAACCTCACACGGTGTGAAGACCTATCAAAGTGCTCGCACTTGAGTGCTCCTGTGTCGGGGCCTGCTGCATGCTCGGATTGCAACCATGCAAGATTAACGGACCGAAACTTGCCTGCAACGCAGGTCTGGGACTTGTTGTTGCGACACAGAGACACTAGTACACCTGAGCGAAATTGGCTTGCTGACATGTTGCTAGCTGAACATGCTGGCTCGGTCCAGTCGTGAGACCACCTTTGCTTCCAAAGGTGGCGTCGTTTCTGCTGCAGGCCAAGCCTAGCATACTATCAGCAAAACGACTCGGCCACGAGGCACCGAAGTGCTCAAACGTTCTGCCGAGCCATGGTGAGCTCCCCAGGTACCAGGGAGCCAAGGCCAAAGCCTCTCAAACCGTGGAGGTGGTGCCCTGCGCAGATGACGATGCCGGCCGCCCGAACATGCCTCAAAAACAGCTTCATGAGAGCTCCTAAAAGGGAAGGTCGCAAACTTGCAGTGAAAACCGGGACTACTTCGGAATGATGTCGCCCACCAAGCCGCCAGTGCGCAGCCAGTCGCTTGCGACAGACCAGCGATTTCGGCTGGAGAAAAGCTTGCCTTGATTCAGGCGGCAACCAACGTCGAGTAAAAGAGATATTTCAGCAGCACTTCCTCTCTCCGTCCGTGCGAGGCGCTGAAGTAGGTCGACCGCCAAATCGCGAATCCGGCGGGTCCCATGACTCTCAGTTGGTCCTTCCACGGCAAGGCTCATGAGGACCCTGCCCCCTGCCCACATCATGTGGGGCCAGGCTCATGAGAGTCGGTCCGTGTCACCATAGAGGGATCGCCACCACATATGGTCCGTGACAGAGGAGCGACCCAGCCTAGGAAATCAAAGCTGAGCAAGCAGTGAATGCAGTGCGTCCGACCTTTAAAAGGGACCGAAGAGCTTGATGAAAGCGTTCGGGTCAATCTCTGCCGCACCCTGAGAGTCGCCAATGTAGGCCATTGTGCCCTGATGACCTCACAACGACTTTCCAAGCCCGTCACAGGTCGCAGCAGCACGTCGTTCCGCAGAGGCTCGGATAACATCCACTGCAGGCTTCTACGGCAAAGGCCGCGACAGTATTTGAAAGGCGCCGCTTCCTCAGTTGGTTGTGGTCGTGAAAAAGCTTGCCGATCACATTGGCTGCGCTTCTCTGACAGGTCTTGAGATATACGATCCTAGTCCCGATTAAATGATATATACTCGTATTAAATCATACGATCTTATATTGTATTGTATCCCTACATTAGTGCGAGAATTGCTTGACTAATGCAGAATTAAAATGCTTGTGTGTGTCCTTCCATAAGTGGCTGGAACATCGGTCCGATCTGCAAAGCCTGACTGCTAAACAGAACATCACTTCGTTCCAGTTGTTGAGCTGTGCCGCTGGGTCGGAGATGAGATGCTCCTTGCCCAAGCGGAACATGCGCCCCAGGTACTTGCCTTACAGAAACTCATCGGCAAATCATTGAAAATGTCGCGGTGTCGTGTCGGCAGAACCGCTGCTCGCATCTGTGATGCAAGCAAGAGGCCCTGCTGATATGCCACCTCCAAACAAGGCCGTATTTCCAATTCACTGCAATTTCTTGGGGCGCGGGCAGCGGGTGTGATCACAAACACTCTGAACACTAAGACCGGCAGCCTGCGCAGTTGGTGGCTTTCCACTGACGGCACAGTCACCAATCGCGAAAACCTGGACCAGAACTTGAGCGAATTGCCAGGTGGATGTGAACAAGTTATGGATGCAGTGTCTGAAAGTCGCAGCAAAACTATGCGAGCCTCACCGAGCTTCGTGCCCTTGACTCGCAAGCACTCGTCCACCAACAACCTGGAGAAGCTGCCCAACTCACACATGAAACCCAAAAACTTCTTGTTTGCCCGGCACAGCAGACAAAAGCAACAACAACACAAACAAGTCGAGATCTTCAGGCATGCTGGAGAAGGGTAAAGCTGAGCGGTGTCTTTTCATCATAGTTCCGTGGACAAAGCGGGTGGTGCTGAATTTGTGTCCCGAAATGATAGCCCGGTGGCCCACGCCGATCTGTCTGTCCATTCTCCTTCCATCACCGGTGATGCTCAACAGACCAAGACTGTACAAACATGCAGAAGGTTGCACAAGCCATGTGACGGAGTTCAGCCCTGCTTCGCGTATTGCAGGCTGGAAGAGAACGTCTGCAGCAGAAAGCTTTTTCTGACCGGAATGGCATCGGAGTCCTTGCCAATCTTCTCGCAGACTGACCGGGTGAAGGGCCTTTTTGTTAAATGGCTATTGCCATGCTGTGCTCTATGCCATGACATCACATCCTGCTGGTATAGCCTTGCCACAGTGAATCAACAACGTTGAAGCATGCCCCGCCTCATGCCGACACCTGCCACCCACACGAGGATGCCGTAGTCCATGTCGATGACACCTTCCTCTCCGTGTGTTCACGTGTTCGGATGTTGTGGGTCATGTTCCGACGAGTGTCGCTGACAGAGCGGAATGACAACCAAATCAGGTGGCGAGTCGATGAATCATGTCATGTTTTTTAACGTTAAAAAACGTGTAGACTCTCGGTGCCCGAAGCTCTTTCACGTCGTGCCTTGGTCTTTAAGTGGACCTTCTCCGGCTCCACCTCTTTGACCATGGCATTCCTGAGATGACCAAAGATGCTTTTCTTGTCAATGCTCGAAGCCTTGCAGATCTGGACACGAAGCTACAGGGATGCGAAATAGCAGTGGCAGGGCGTCACCACTGTTTGCAACCCCGACATCAAGCAGCCGTGCTGACTCAAACGTTTGCCTCCAAGGTTCAACTTCACGTCCACGCCCTGGATCAGGACAGCATAAAGAGAGAGAGAGAGAGAGAGAGAGATATATATATATATATATAAATATAATATAGATAGATGAAGCTTCACGTGGGACCTGCCTACTTAATTACTCTCTGTCTCTCTGTCCATCTCCGGGGGCAAGCAGCCTCCCAGCTCCAAAAGCCAACCTTTGCCGTTGGTATGGGGGGATGACTCGTAGTTCTGCTGAAATGTGGAGAGTTTATGACATGCAAAGCACAGGTCAAGGAGTTCAGGAAGGCTGCACTCATCAACTGACAACTGCGCTATCACATTCAGTAGCACTAGCTGCCGACAATTGAGCAGTACAGACCAAGCCACTCGCTCTCTTCTGTCCCTTGCTTCCTTCCTTCCTTCCTTCCTTCCTTGCCCGAGGAATGAGTCCGAACTAGTCGGACGCACCTTAGGCGCCCCCCCTTCCAAAGAAAGAGACATTGGGTCCCTTAGCGAAGAAGTCGGTCTACTATGCGGTGCGGTGTCTGGCTGTCGCTCCACCCCGACCCTGCGCACTCCGGCTCGTCCTCGTGCCCTCTATAGCACTGTCCTTAGCCCCTGTGACAGCCAGCTCCCCCTGCAAACTGGAGCGGCTTTTACTGCCACTCCCTCAACTCCGCTGAATTCCCTGCTAGCAGGTCCGCTACACAAACTTCGCAGAACTTCACTTGTCTTAGCTTCGGGATGGCTCTAAGCCAGGGCCTGGCTGGCAAGGTGGTCTTGGACATAGCTGCCTGGGCGCAACACAACGTTGCAGTACGTTGCATGCAGGGCCATGTAGGGCTCATCAAAATCATGACACTGTCTTATACTGTCTTGTCATAGCAAGGGGCCAACAGACTTGTGGAACATGGTCAGGAGGCCTGGGAGGGCCTCCACAAGCGTGACCTGATGAAAGTGCAGGTGCTGCAGGTACAATAATCTTCGAAGTGTGTGGTGCTGGCCTGGAAGTGATCTGCGATCTTGGGATACCGACCTGGTTGTGTCAACATGCCATTTTACACAGCTGGACATGACTCGTGTTCGATTGTAACAGACTCAAGTTCGATCGTGCTGCGCTTCAAATCCTGCTTGATGAAGTCCGAGAGCTCACCGCAAAATTCGACACCTCAAGCACATATCAAAAACAAACACTGTCAATGTAAACCTATGTCCGTTCCAAGCTACGAAAGCAGAACACAGGCACTGCGACTCACATGTCAACTCTCGCGTTGCCTGTCGGTCCTCCACCGACGACAACGAAGTTCAAGAGTCTCTTCACCTCGGGCTTCTAGGGCCGAGGGGCTTGTGCAGGACAGTATGGGAGCATGGTGCAGAGTTCAGGGCCCGAGACCCTGGCGGTGGACAAATCCCCGGAGGCGTTGGCGACCTCGGCCTGTTCAATGATGTCCAACATCTCCTCAATGCAGCCGGCAGCGAAGCTTTGCCCTCGTCTCGACATGTCTCGCTTCAAAGCCCTCGTTGTCCTTTCGCAGTGCTCGCCCGTGCTCGATTTCTTTCAGAAACCTTCCGTTGACGGACTTGGGTGAGGCAAGGCACCACTACAGCCGCAAACTCGAAAGGACTAACCTGATAGTTCACATTGCAGCATGATCAACCTGGGTTCAGCTGATATTGGTAAAGCTTGGCAAGGTATTTGCATTTCATTGCTGCGAAGGAATTCTGTATCTGCAGGGAGATTGATCGGATGGCCCTATTCAGTCTAGTAACAGTCCTGATTATGTCCTCCGAAACGATTTGTGTCGCTCCCATTGGTGCTTCCACGAGGTCAAGCGAATTAACCAGCCACTGCCGATGTTGCCCAATGACTGAAGCCCTTGAAAAGCACCGGATCTTGAGGAAGCTTTTTCTCGTTCACTTCAACCTCTCTGCGATGCCGCGATAGACGTGCACAAGATCACCCAGCCTGCCGTACTTGTCGACGCCAGGGATGCCGAACGTGTTGGGCTGGGCACCAACCTGAGTGAACAAGGACGAAGCACCAAGCGACTACTCTATCAAAGGCTCAGCTCCTTGCGGCGACCACTAGGTGATCGTAGTCCAAGGTGAGGCCGGTGTCGCAGTGCACCTAACGTAGGTTTGACATGTGACATTGATTTGGTTGCGAGAGCAGGGACGACGAAAACTGTGCGGCAGGAGCTGAACACTTGTCGGTCCGGCCTTCTTCTGATCTAAGTCTACGTCCTGAAGCACGGAACTGTCCCCCCAGCTCACTGTGTCGATTGGTCGGGGCAGACACAACTTTCGTCAACTGATTCGTCCGACTCGCCGTGAGTCCTTGCAGTGCACTCGCAAGAAGTCGCAGTTGGGGACGTTGTCGCGGATCGGCTCGATGATGGCACCTGAGAGCTGAGGTAGTGACAGGTAGCGCCCTCCGAGTCTGAACGGAGTCGCAGGAAGCATTCGATGTAGTCTTATCTTGAAGCCCTGTGCTGTCGGAGGTTTGAGGATCCTAGCAGGCAAAATTACAAGTGTTGTAACAATGAGGGGCCCGTGTTCGAATCCGGTCTGGAAGGCGATGAAAGTAACACTCTACAAACTGACATGTTCCTCAGTTTTTCTGTCAGCTCTTGCGGGTCTTGACCCTAGATGGTAAGTCGGTTCATAAGGTTGCTGCTGGAAAGCCTGATGCAGTCCTACAAGACTCAGCACGGTCGAGTGCACGCGCGACTACTCGCTGCCTGATCTCTTGCCGGGCCGGCCCCTGGGTTGCAGCTCTGAAGTCTCTAAAGGGCTACGCATCAAAATATGCCGCGTGTCTAGTGTCGTCAGGGCATGCAAGGCAATGTTAGCAACTGCACCACATCGACCCGACTCCACAACCACACCGCCTCAAAGGTCTTTGCACGACAGTGTGGTGCTCGTTGCAGGATGTTTTTTGATCACTAACTGCCTCGCAATCGTGTGGAAACAACTAGTGGTTTTTGGCTTCAAGGCTCCTGGGAGCATTCAGATCAAAGATTGGAATAGCATGAACGGCAGGAAACTTGCCCAGCTTGCGATCACATGCCTCAGCCCCTGACCCGGCGAGACGACACCCGTGGTGCTGCCGACCAGCAGTGGTGTATAGAAGAAGAAAGGCCGAGGGGAGACCACGGTCACCTTTGCCAGAGTGACTGCAGTATACCAGCTCAGCTCAGACGCTGACCCGACAACCCCTCAACCCACCAATGTGCTGCTTTAGGCTGCTGCTGATGCACACCGCCTCAGACTTTCTTGAGGACACCCTTAATTTCGAAACCTTGGTCAAGCTGCATCGAACTGCGAGGGATCGAGCTTCCTCACAAAGGACAGAGCGCCCCAGCCGGAGCCCAAGACCACCACTTTCCTTACTGAAGTGCGTGTGTCGTCTTATGACGGACATGAACTGTCGAAACCTCTCTTCAGCAACTTTGCCGGAACCTAACCAAAAAAGGCTGCTAAAGCTCGGAGACTAGTTACACTCACTATCCTGAACATCCGGAGCCTGCAACACTTTGCCGGCCAGCGCTATCATGAGCAGACTGACTGGGACCGCAACAGGAACGTTAGCTACACCGTCAAAAAAATCACATCTACGTGTGTTTACTTTCCATGGCTAACTCACTCTTCACTTTTGTCGCTTGGCAAGCTGCCGACGCTCCTGCTCCTTTTTGGCAAAGTGGTAAAAGACTCGATCCACCTCGTACCTGTTGCAATTTACAGATTTTGGACTTCTCATACTGGAACAAGACACACACCCTGCACAATGCCGGCGATGAATACTGCTGAATACTTGTACAGCCATGACTGCGGGTGCTTTATGTCATCCAGGTCGTCGTTGATCCACATGTGTCCAATCTTGACCTTAAGTGGTGCCAAAACAGGTGATGGCTTCACCACTCCTCCCAAGGGTAGTGTGTTGGATTTGTGTCATAAGCTCCAAGCACCGGCGAACGCAGTGGCGCCCAGGGCGCCGAGCTTCACCGTCCTGCACCAGAAATAGCACTCTCATTCATGCACTCTTTGGATGATTACACAGCGACAAGTTTGCACAGTCATCTCTTGGGAGTATCTGGGGTCCGACAAATGCTTGGTTCTTGACTCTAGCAAGACACCGCGCGAAAGTGAAATGCATGTGCACTCCGCGCCTGCGAGCAAGTCGGCGGAACATGGTGTTGGTGTTCTGATTGCACCGAACTGCTAGTTCCTACTCGAACCAAAGGTTCTGCAAAGCATGAATGCCGAATGGCTCTTCTGAATACAGGATCAGGCACAAGCTTCTTGAAACCAGCCAGTTGTAGCATGACCAACTGATGCAGCCATACGCGTATTGTACCATCGTCTGCAAGTCCCGGAAATCGATGCTGAGGCCGATGCCCCACTTAAAAGGACGACTCCAGCAAGGAAGAAGTTGAGGATCAAGGCCTTGGCAGCATTGAGCTGAGGTGTCACACGCGAAAACACTGATCGACGGTCGACTCGAGAACTCCGTCCTCACACCTGGCTCGGGCTCCCAGTGCCGAAGGCCAGCGGCCCTGAGGACCGGACCGTGCAAAGCCAATAGATCAGCTTCTCCTTCGTGCAAAGCTGAACGGGATGAACCCAAAGTCTTCCCACTCTGACACAAAATCTGCGTCGGGCAGACATCTGGAAAGATTCAGGCACGTTCTACCCATGAGAAGGGCAGTGACCTCAAAGTTCCCCTCGCGCCACGAGAAGGAGTCGAGAGGCTGCATTGCTTCAGGCAAACGTCGGTCTTTCCAGGGATCTGTGGCGTCGCTCAGTCGCTCAAGCACTTGCTCCTGGTGCTGGGTAGGGATGGCTGGGACGTGGCAGCTGCAACAAAGTACGAGTAGCCTTTCTTGCTATCAGCAGGCTTGGGCTCAAACAGCTGCCAAGAAGGATAACCTTTTTGTTTTAAATATCGGTATCTTATTGTTTATTGCACATGTCAGGGCATTTGCCAGCGTATGAGCGAGCGACATGTCGACAACGTGGGCAGCCTGTTGTAGGATAAATGGTAGCAAACGGCTGTCCCAAAACTGGCTGCAGCTTTTCGTAGCCTTTTGGGCGCAGGCGCTACGTCGCTCTCGAATCCCTTCACGCATTTATCGAAGCTTCTCGGATACCTGCATGCTGGCAAGCCTACACCGTGCCATATCCATATTCTGTAGACAGAGAGAGAGAGAGAGAGAGAGACAGAGAGAGAGAGTCAGAGTGAGAGCGAGCATGTCAACAGTTCGCCAGTGTGCTGATGAAGCATGATAGCCCGACTTCCCTTACCCGGCCCGACGTTGTGTTGGGCTTAGGGACATCGGGTGAACACGTGTAGCAAAACCCTCCGACTCAAAAACCGAAACAAACCTTTCGACGGTCCACTTTCCCCGCCTTGCTGACCGTGTCCAGGTAAGCCCCGGACCAGTTTTCTACGGTCGCACGGTACCTGCTCAACAAACAGTTTGCAAAAACAGAAACCTTTGGCTAACGTCAGTGAAAGTATCAATCGACCGTCGCACTGTTCTTCCGTCGCGGGGTTGAACCTCGACGGTTCGAAAGACGATCTAAGGACGACTTCACGTATGAAACTGCACGTGCGGAGCTGCAACTGCCGAGCTGGGCGACGGACGCCCCGAAACATGCGAAGCCTCAGAGACGCTGTCACGAGTCACAGCCCGGAAGAAGTGCAAATGCTATCCGCAGTCCGAGCTTGACAATGACCTCTCTTCAGGCCAAACGAGTGTGTTAGTAAAGGCCAGCGCGCCAGAACTCCCTGGAGGTTTAATACCGCAAATTCAACGATTATGCCTGAGAGCAGTAAAGATATTTGTTACACGGTCAGCCTCACGTTGCGAACCGCAGTTCCGATTATCGAACCCGCCAAGATCTCGTCGCAACATGTCAACACACTGCGGCGAAGCCTGTAATGGTCTCTGAATTGGTCTTGGTCGCGTTAGTTTCAGACTGGACCTGCGAGCCAGTACCAGGACCGGATTGAAGCTGCCAACACCATGACTGCAATTTGTTGCCTATGTCCTGCGTCATTAAACTCCAAGCATGCCTGGATGAAGCTGGAGGGGAAGTCTTCGAACATGTCCTTGAAGTGCTCGTGTGCCAGATTTTGTGCCTGCGGGTGCAAATTTTCTCAGTTCGTCTAGATCGGCTCCTTACTTGGGACACAAACTCCGATCCGTTCAGCCTGAAGTTGCGAGGCGTCTGGTATCTCTGTCTTCTCCTGGCCAGGCAATCTGTGTTGTTTTTGTTTCGGGGGTCGCCGGGGGATCTGTTCCACAAGGGAAGATGGGAGGGCATGGAGAGGATTCTCGAATCTCATATTCCGATGGTGGGCAAAGTAGCTTTGTGGAACTTCGCATGTCTCCGCACTGAGATCGGGCTGTCGTTCGTCCTCCCACCGCTGTCGGAGCGATTCCAGGTCACCTCCATAGAAGATCTCATAGGCAAATGCATACCTGACAAAGCCGTCCAGGCAAGCCGTCTGTGCTCAAAGTGAGGCCGGGCACGGAGTCTCAAGTTTGTCGTAGACCCAGTCCAGGCAGGTGCCGGGGCAGGAATAGCCCACCTATGGGAGCAGAAGATGGTGCCGGAAGCTCTGACAGTTGACAACAGTCGTGTGCCCGGCCTCGCGCCCAGCCGCTCCGAAGGGGCATTCGCAGTGGGCCTAACGCCAGAGTATAAAGATGTACAAAACCCAGAAAGCTGCAAAGGGTCTCCAGCACCCCCGCAAAATCCAGGGCCTGGTCCACTTCCTTCAAAATCCTAGGGGTTCGTGTCGCACCACTCGTGACGGGAACGCTCCGTCTGTCCGAGCTGCAGGCTCCATCATGGAGGCCTGATTGCGATTCGCCAAGTGCTCCATGTCGAAGGCCCAGGGCATATACATTCCTGGCCGCAATCCGCAACGTAGCCTGGTTCGGCCCAACTTTGTGTGCCTGTCTCTGTGTGTGAGCGATTGCGTGCGCAGGTGAGATGAAGCTGAGATGAGAGCACCGATCGCGGTTCAGGTGAATTGGAGGCGAGAGCGTGGTGGAGATGGGTTGCACTGGGCTTAACAGTATGGATCAAAGCTATTAGCTGATGACTGACAAGGCTGCGTGACAATGAATCGGGGCTGACTGCAGGTGAGTTGGAGGTAGGGTTCGAATGAAACTTCATAACTAGGACTCAGGGTGCGGCGATGTCTTGGATGTAGCACTCAATGAATCTCGATTTCAGGGTTGGCAGCTCTGCAAGTCTCTGAAAACTTTTCGGTAAGTTGTGAAGGCGTGCACCTCCAGGCAAAGGGAAGCAAAGGCCGTCATTTGCTGGTGCTGAGAACGAGGCAAAGATCTGGCATGGAGCTGTGCTTCGTTGATTTTGGTGGAGTTTCAAACTGCCGACCAACCGGCTTTCCATAAGCGCCCTACCCCTACCCCGCGCCTCGCCAACATGAACGAAAACAATAGGTCAGCCCAGCCAGAAACGCACAAGCAATCGGCGCACGCAACACGTGAGGACCATGTCGTGTGCTACTACGCACACACACACACACAGAATGCGACTGTAAAACTCTCATGGCCTCGTGGTCCCGTGGTGTCGGGGACGGGGGCACACATGGTCCATGTTCAGATGCAAAATGTCATTTGGCCATCTCAGGTTGTCTTTGCACAAATCGCACTGGATTGGGGAGGCAGGGAAGGAAGCTGGGGAGCCACAAACGGAACTTGTTGAAACAACCGCCATCCCACGCCGAAGGTGCTGAAAGCACCGCATCCACTTGACATGGAATGCAGCATGCAGCGGCATCATTGGACTTCAATTACCTAACTCGAGACACGCGATTGCAAATACTCCGAAAGAGATCAATCGCCTTCGTGACTGTGCTGCCGCAGCGCCGAAAGGGACTAAAAGAGCAATTTCCCGGCCTAGTGTTCCACTGTGGATGGTCAGGAATGTCCTGACAGTTGCGACCAGTTTGCGTCTCTGCTCTGCGACGAACTGCTCTTGAGGAACAGGCGTTGGCTGGAAGTCTGAGACTAACCTCAGCCAGGTACGCGCACAGCAAACTGATTCAAACCACAGCCGAGGAAAGCAAGTCAGGACCCAACTCCTTCAGAAGCTGCGTCTCTGGCTCGCTGAAGGGCCTGTTTTTAGCAGCAGCGTTGGCCGACTTCTATCTACTCTTCGCAACCCTTTGCGGCCTTCCTTCATCAAACGGGAGAACAAAAGGTACCGCGAGAAGTGGACAATGAGCGCAGTTCGTGCTCTAATTGCATCATGTTACGAAATATCAGTGATTGAAGCATTGAGAGTAAGCAATTGAGCAATGTAGGACACCAACAGAGTTTCGAGCCTACTACTCATCTAGTTAAACGCATTGAAGGGTAAAGCGAACGCTTTCAAGACGTTTCAATGTAACACGAAAGGAACAAGTCCAGCGTCGTCTACATATTGCAAATGTGGCCAAGCCATCATGCTGAAATTACGTAAGATTTGTGGAATGAGATTGATCTCGTGTCATTCTGTCACGTGGGTTTCCATGTTGATTCACGAGGGATGTAACTAAGAATAACAACAACTACTAATGTAGTATTACTTTCGCGCTTTTTGTATTTACCACCTAATTGAACGTCTCCAATCTTTTCAGATTCAGTCACTTGTCCAAAAGGAGATCTATAAACAAGAGTGGACACATGCATAGAGCCACATCAGTCAGATGCTGATGGTTCGTGAACAATAAGGACATCTCGAATCAAATTGTGGACCTGAGGCAGCAGCAGCCGACCTGGATTCGTGTCCCCACCAAACGACTCGTCACCCTGCTCGGGTGGTCTTTGCACTGCAAAAGTTCTGTCGACACCGGCCTGCTGCATTTCCAAAAGCTAACTTGTCTAGTCTACGGACTTTACCGGTTTCCTTTATCTTGGAACATGATACCAGTCGGCGTGAAATGCATTAGCGCAACCATTAGCCCTCCGGGCCTGCCAGTGTTCATCCCAATTCCGATTGAGGTCGACTCCACCAGGGCCCACACGAAGGCACCAATCGCCCTGCATTCCACAACGGATCTTTCGTTTTTGCGGAACTTAGAGGCCCGGTGTCATGGAGCACCTGCAGTCACGAGGGCCAAATGCTAGCATAATTTTTCGCTGCACGGATACAATGCCTTTGCTGCTTTGAGACATTCGCTCACACCAAGGAGCTGTCGGCCGAAAGGCGCTTTCGTTTTGCTAATCGAGCAAAGGGGGAGCTTTTCGATACTCAAAGTCATGAGTCACTCGGAAAACCACAGCCGCTAGTAGCCCTCCGGCAAATTGGAATAAACAGTATGTCAAGCAGTAGGTCAATAGCTGCAGGTTGTTAAATGTTGCGCTTTCTGTAGTGGCGATGCTCCATGCCACAGCTGGATTCAAGATGCCGCCGGAAATCGAGCTGGAAGCAAAGCCACCCACTAAAACACAGGCTCCGATCGCAAAACCGAATGGAAAGTTCTGCGTTGATACGGCATCTGGAGTTTTAGCAGTTGCCACACTGAGAACCACGAAGGCGAGCAGTGATGTAAAGGCTGTCTCGACAATTAGAACCGCAATCCAGCTGTACGGCAGCTTGGGCTGCAAGCTGATCTCTTTCATCATGAACATGCTCTGGCTCTGGTAGGCTGCTGTGATAGCACCAGCCAAAGAGCCGGCGAGGAGCTGGACGGCCGCGTATGCCACACCGCGGCCAGCAGGACACTTCCCTCGACCACTGAAGACAACTGCAGCTGTGACTGCCGGGTTCAGATGCCCGCCGCTGATGTCGTGCACTGCGTAGATCATGCTGGCAAGGGCTGCAAAGGCAGCCCATGGAGTCGAGATCGAGTGCATCACCATGTTCAGTCCCACGGTGATGCACAGGAGAAAAGTGCCCAAAAACTCACTTAACAACTTCGAGAGAAGCGAGCCCCCCGCATCCCCAAGTTGTTCTCGGAGTGGCTCTTCACCGTTGCGGAGCTCTGCGGCACGCACTGCCACGAACATGGCGGCAGCCATGGTTGCGCCGAAGAGCTGCATGCCAGCAAAAGCCAAGCCCCATGGCCCTGCAGCTGCGCCAGGAGCCCTTGGCAGTGAAGAATGCTGAAGGACACAGTAGTTGCACTGAATCAGCAGACCCAAAAGATGTCTCGAAGACAAGCTGTACCCGGACCTACAACTTTGCTATGAAGCTTCCAGTGCTTCCAGCCGAGGCACCGAGCTCCCACAATCTCCAGGCCAAGGGACACTGCTGGGTTGAAGATCCCACCGGAGATCCCACTGGCTGCATGTCCGCCAGCAACGATGACTAGTCCGATTGCGAGTCCGAAGTAGTGGTTCTGGTCGCGGTCCGGGTTGTTGTTCTTCGATGTAGATACGGAAAGCACCACGAAACAAAGCATGCCTGTGTAGAGGGCCTCTAGGAAGGCCGCATCCCAAAAGCCAAATGGGGGTATTGGAGACACACCGAGTGGCTGCTGGAAAATCTCATGGCAAGCGATGCCGGCAACAAGCCCTGCCGAGATCTGCAGTAAAATGTAAGCAATCACCTGAGGCCATGGCGTTTTCCGTGTGAGGCCGCAAGCGAAGGACACTGCAGGGTTGAAATGGCCACCGGAGATAGGGCCCAAGCTGTACACCAGGACTGCTAGCAAAGTCCCAATGGCAGTTCCGGCAAAGTCCGCACTCTCGGCTATGCTAAAGACGGCGATGGTGAAGACGAGAAGATAGGTGCCAATAAATTCTGCCACATAAGGGGCCATGGACTCTGCAAAGCTGTTCAGCTGTGTTGGTCCCGTAGTCGAGCCATATGTAGACAATGCAGAGGCATCCTTCTGTGAGGCCATGGAGGTCGGAACATACGAAGGGTTCAATAGCCGGATAAACGTGTCTTGAACCAAAAGCATTCCGACATGTGTGGCCAAAGTACGGCTCGAATGTCTCAACATGCATGCGGAAGATGAACAAACATTCCTTCTAGCTGAGCTGTATGAGGAAAATCAGGCCAAGTCAACATCGCGAAAGCAGTGAGGAGATGGACCTGTTCTACTTGGACCCGCGAGCCCGGGTTGGCGTTGACCACCAACAAGAACTCACTCCTCTGCCTCAGAATTGAAGGTCCTAGTCGATTCAGTAATTTCTGTGTGAACGTTTGCAGCTGCCAATGTAGTTTTCCAAGCACGGTCAAGCACAAATTTCTCATTGCTTGCTCACCGCGCAAAATCACGAGTCACACAACTCAGGACCATGCAATTCCGCCCGAGCTTTGTCGTTTTCGCAAAGCGTCTTGGCCTTAGAAAAACCGGTCACTCCAGCTTAGCATCAGAAAGGGAAGCTATTCAAGGTGCAACCTCGACATGATGCTTTCAGGCACCGGCAAAGTGTAGTCCCGACTCTGCTGAAATCAATTCTCGAGCATGTTCCTGGCCATCAGGGTGGTGGAACTACACTGAAAGTCCTGTGCATGGGAATGTCATCGCCCGTGGTCCTGACTCGAGGCCCTTACTCATCACAAACCCAACAATTACCGCTACTGCGGCAAAACGACGGCACTTGACAAAAAGATGTGCTCGTGAAACAATTTGATGATCCATATTCAGCTGTCATAGTAAGTTCAAGCTGAAACATTAGCTGATGATCTCACGGCAGGCTAGAACTTCCGAGTGAAGAGCTGCAAAGCTTTCTGAACAACGGTGCTCGCGACACCGCCCGATGCAACGAACTACTTTTTGCAACCTCCCAAAGCGGCGCTCGTTGTATCGCTACATCACGTGCTTCGGGTGGTACGCACAAGATTGGACTTCGGCACAAACTTTGGAAGCACAACCGGCTTCTGTGCAATACAAACGTTGATCCTCGGCTGACTGCTGGCTCATTTGACTGGCCGCCCTGCCCCCCCNNCCCCCCCCCCCCCCCCCCCCCTCGGCGTCGGCAATCCCTCTGCCATTTCCGGGCTCTGGTTCAACTCTTCCGGTTCTCAGACAATACAGCACTGCAAATGTTCGAAACATTGCATCCAAGAGACTGCCAAGACCGTCCTAGTGGGCCATCAATTACATCAATCTCGCTTGATGCTCACCTTCAACTTGTCGGCGTGGTACGACAAAGCAACAGTATGTGCACGTCCTCAACCGAATGAATGCATTCTGGTCACATCGCCGTTCTTCTGGTACTGACGTCCAAAGAACTTCAGAATTTCATCAATCAATATCACTGGAAAGGAAAACGCCATGACCAACACCTCTCGTGGATTCCGGTGCTTTTGCACATTAAACGCATCTTGTGCATTCATCTTCTCTGCTGTGCACCATGTGCAAACCAAACACCCAGTCGTGCCAATCTAGCGCGCAAACTGCAAAGACTTTGGCCAGGAACGGCACGTACAGGATCACCTGCTGTCCAATGCAGCTCGAAGGTGAAGAGCTGACAGATGATAATTATACAACACAGGGGTCATGCATCGATGCGACCTCCAGTCAGCTCGAGCCTAGCACATGTGGCTTTTTGCGCCGAGCTGCGAAGTGAACCATCACAGAACCTTGGAACACATCCCAGATCATGTGATATGTCTGGATGTATATGCATATGTGCATGTGTGTGTAGCAAGAAGTTCAACGGCTTCCCGGCTCGGCCTCGGCCGACAGTTGCCTCAAGCTGCCAGCTTTTGCGTGCAACATTCGTCTGATGGAGCTGCGGGTTTGGGTGCGCTGTTTAACCCTACATGTTAGACGCCATCTCCGGTACGGAGCTCGGGAGTGACGTGACAGGTGATTTCGAGAGGGCCTGAATTTCTGAATGGGTCAATAACAGCTGTGCCCGGCTTAAGTACAATCAGCAGACGAAGCCTGATTACAAAATGCCCGTCGAGCCAAGACAAATTACACAACAAAGCCCTGTTTCCGTACCAGGGCAAACAAGCAAACACTGGTGGGGTACTGCACGGATGAATCGCGTTGGAAACGGTGACCGCATCATATAGCACGTTGAACCATGTCAATGTATCTAACATGTCTCATGCGCGTAGCATGCACGTGCAGACATGAGTGCAACGCGCCTGCAGCGGGAGACCTAGAAATATTCTGACCAAGCCACCCAAGCAGGCCAATACCAGCCAGGGATTTGTCCACGGAGACAGTTGCAGTAGGGATCCATCCTCACAGTGAGCTGCCATGTCGACCAGGGTTTCAATCAAGTTGGCGAATGTGCTCATGCTGAACACCTATCACAATCACCGTTTATGCAATAGGACGATGTGCAAGCCACCGGCCTCTGAAAGCGCATTGAAGGCATTCAGCATCTCGATGATGACCTGAGGTGCTATGCCCGACTACCGGGAGCTAAACATTCGCATGCAAAGAACAACTGGCAGCGAAGTCAGGAAACGAAGCTGGTCGCTCAAGTCCTGGACTCTCAAGCGGGTTAGAACAGGAGGGTCGGGGCGGGTGCAAGCAGGCGGAGACATCTTGACTACACTGCAGCCCATCGAAGCGAGAGGTTGTACCACCCCTCAGTATTGAACAGATTGCACAACGCAGGCTTTACGATGCCCCCCCCCACATCGCATGCCTATTGTCCAATACACCCCGCTGACTTGCACCCGGCTGCTAGAACGGTCAGCGAAAGCGTTGACGCTTTTACTTTGCCAGCTGTGAAATAGCTGCATGGCTCACCATGAAACCTTGGCTGCCAAACGACGGGACGTGCGGCTTCGTGCTTCAACCGGTCGACTGCTTCTTAAGCTTCCTGCAGATTAGTAACGTCTGTCCCAAACAAGGCATCGGTAGAAAAGTTTGCCACTGAGCACACTTGCTCCTTAGGCGTGTGCGCCTTCCGCATATCAGTGTTATCACTTCGTGTTGCAGTGTCCCGTACAATCCGTCTTCTTGCAAGCCCGAGCTCCAGCCCATCAGCTCAGAGAGACTCACCAGGGTATGACCTCGTATTGGTGCATGAAGTCAGATGCACCGGCGCAGACAATGCACAGCATTCGTGAAGGGAACCATCGGGGCTCTCGTCAAAGCAGTACCAGTAAACGAAGATGCCCACGGTTGCGAGGCCGACCTCGGACTTGCGGGCATCACGAATTACGTCAAGTGCCGTGACCTGCAGTGCAGACGGCTGGCATAGATGCCAATCACCATGTATCGAAAGAACACCTGGGTGCAGCGAAACTGAAGACTGGCCAAGAACATGCCCTTTGTTGCCTTACTAACTGCTAGATTACTATGATAACACTTCCCATCCGTATCGTCGCTCCACCTCAACAACCTTTCGATTTCGACCACACTCGACAACTGCTGGGCAATCTCCTCCAAGCTGCCCAGCCAGAGATCAGGGCATCGTCTGATCGCCTGCCGGCAAGGCACTTGGCGGGGCTGGAGCCGGAAGAAGCTGCCAAGGCTGACGCCAAACGGGGTAAGTGGGAAACATGTACGGAAGGTGATGTCGCTGGATAAACGTGGCCGACCATGTCGAGTCTTCGTTGTCTCAATCGCATCCTACACAGTGTCCTGGGATGTCGGTACATCACGTCGAGATCGGGGGGGTTGAAGCCAAGTGCAGTAGCAGGAAGACCGTCGGTGACCAGGTTCACCTCAACAACACGAAGCCCGTCCCACGAATGCCTCTAATGCCTCCGCCCCTGTCTGTCGCCAGGGTGCCCAAAGCAGCTGCACTGGAGCTAGGCCTGCTGTTGCTTTGAGAGACTTGTAAGAGGAATGCATGGGTGAACAACATCGCTTGAAAATGCACTCTTCCTGCTTCCGGCTTCTGGGTGCGGTTGGTTCTGCGCTGAGGTTCTCTGGCCTTGAGGGTCCCATCTCTTTCTTTCTTTCGCCAGGG